CCTTGGCCCTTTGCAGAATGTATCCTGATTCTGAGCTCTTGACCTGCACCAAGGGCCATTGTAAGAAAGAGCAGGTGTGAGTCACCATGGCATCTCAGTAGAGACACTGTCCAGGATGTCATCTACTCTGGGAAGAAATTCCCCTCATCGCTCATCCCTATATCAGGAAAAGCTGAGCATCTTAAAAACTAATTTTATTTCAGAAGCAATGTCATTTCCTTGTTTGATTAGGCTTCAAGGAAGCTCAGAGTCTGTTATACCTCCATCAGTTGTAAAACACCTTATAAAGTCATCAACAGCACAGATGTATTGAGCACATAGTACATGGTAAGCACCTTTCATGTAGTCCTTCTCACATAATCCTCACACAGCCCTGTGGGGTAGGTAATATATTCTCACTATTGATATTAGGCTAAATAATGGTCCCCAAAGATGTCTTGATCTTAACTCCTGGAACCTGTGAATGTTATCTTACATGGCAAAAGAGACTTTGCAGATGTGATTAAGGATCTTAACTTTTGAGAAATGGTCCTAATCATGAGGGTTCTTATAGGAAGGAGGCTTTGAAACAGAACAGGAAGGCCATGGGATGACAGAAGGAAGCAAGATGCTACACTGTCAGCTTTGAAGATGGAGGAAGAAGCCCCAGGCTAAGGAATGCAGCTATATAAGCTGGAAAAGAAAAGAAATGGATTCTCCCCCAGAGCTTCTAAGGGAGCAAGGCCCAGGCCCTGCCAAAACTTTCACGCAGTGAAATTGATTTTGGACTCTGACCACAGAGCTATGAGTGAATACATGTGTTGTTTTCAGCCACCAGGTAGAAACTTGTTACAGCAGCAACAGGAAACTAATACACCCTCCTTTACAAACAACAACCTGAGATCTAGAACGTTGCCCTAAGATTTGAATGAGCTTTGCTGACTCCACATCCTAAGCTCTTACATGTCTTGCTACCTCATCTGTTACATGTGTCCTAACCTGTTCTGCCTTTTATGATTTCCCCTTAGCCAGCTCAGATAGGTTTAACAAATTATATAGACTGAAGGACTTAAGCAGCCAACGTTGATTTCTCGGAGTCCTGGAGGCTGGAAGTCGGAGATCAGGGAGCCACCAGGGGCAAGTTCTCGGTGAGGGCTCACTTCCTGGTTTACAGACAGCCACCTTCTCATTGTGTCATGTGGTGAAAAGAGAGAGAGATCTCTGGCCTTTTCTTTTAAGGGCACTAATCCCATTTATGAAGACTCCACCCTCATGGCCTAATCACCTCCTAAAGTCCCCATCAGCTAATACTGTCATATTGGGATTAGAGTTTAACATGAATCTCCAGGGGACACAAACATTCAGTCCATATCACTTTCCCTTATGCTTCCCCTCACCCTGCTTCTCCCACTGCTGCCTGTTTCTCCTTCCAATTACAAGTATTTCTGCCATCTCCTCACATCTTTGTGAATATGCTAGAGGTAGCACATAAGTAAATACATTGGTGGGTGTTGGTGGCATGTGCATGGGGTGGGGTCCCTGGGCTTCTGTAAGCTTGAGGCTTGTGATTTAGCAAACCCAAGGCCCCTGACTGTGTTCATTCCCCTTTTGCTTTAGTAAAGACAGTGGCTCTCTTCTTTCCTGTGTCACTGGCAGTTGGCCAGGCCAGGACTTCTGCTTTTTCAGAAAATTATGCTTACTTCCTAGTTTGTATTCAAAACCCCGTAACTGCTTGTGAAGTTTCCTTTCTCCTCAAGGTTATCAAGACTGCGGAAATGGTGCCAACTCAGGCCTTAGTGGTTTCTTCCTGAATTATTGCTCTGCCTGGAGAAAACCCTATTTTTAGCCTCAAATAGCTTCCAATTCAAAATCTACACTCCTGTTTACTGGCCAAGGATCTTTCCAAAATGCAATTTCCTCCTGCCCACCCTTATGTGGGGTCCTGCTCATATCTCCCACTTCCTCTTTCAGCCCTTTGTGTCTTCAGCTCTGCTGCAGGTCCCTGAACCCTAAGCCTGGTCCCATCTCCCGGCCTTCACGCATGTCGTTCTCTCTGCCAGACTTCTCCCCTCACCCCTCCTTTACTCCGCTTTGCCTGCTGATGAAACTCTAGACTTCAGGGAACTCTGGAGCATGGGCTCTGGAGTCACGCAGGCTGGGGATCAATTTGTTTTAATTCTATAAATAGTTCCTCAATGCCTTACCTTATCTGCGACCCTGGGGGTGTAATTCTGCCATTATTAGCTGTGTGGTCTTGGAAAAGTTATCTATTAATAACATCTCTATCCCTCAGTTTACACATCTGCAACATAAGAATGATGTGTGTAAACCACTTAGCATGGTGGCCTCCACCAACATGAGGTGTTATCATTACTATTTTCCTCAGTCTTTAAGCTTCAACTTAGGCTTGGAGACTCCTTCCCCAGCAGATTCAGATGCCAACCTCACCATCTTTTGACTACCACGTCCCCTGGTACACAATGCCTGCCTACACTACAGCTCTTCACACAAAGCGTTTATCTTGTTGCTTGGTTGTCTGAGCTTCCCACTACCCTTGGGTGAGAACTGCCTCTCTTCCGTCCCTTATTCTGAGTGCATGGAGCAGGGCTTGGCTAGGATGTTCACTGACTGCATGGAGCAACTTCACCTACAGAGGAAAGAGTCATCCTCAGACGGGCAGGTGATATGTCCTTGCTCTTTCCCTGACGTGCCCAGTCCTCTTGCCAGTGACTTGAAAGGATGCGCCAGCCTGGCTGTAGGCAGAGGGTGAGTCTGGGAGACAGATCAGCCATGGCAACCTTTTATGCAAGGATGAACTGGAAAAACCAATCCCGACCAGTCCTCATATCACATCCTGCTTCTCATCTTGCACCTAAAATGAATGGGATACTAGTGGTCCTGATCCCATGGGAAAACTGAGAGTGACAAGATCAGCACTTCCAGCCATTCATCCTCTTTTACTTATTTTTAATTTTTTTGTGCACTTCAATGTCCCTTCTTTTTAAAAGAGTAAGTCTAAATTGAGCAAATGGCCCTGCCGACCAGAGTGACCATCTGGACCTCTCTGGGCAGCTCTTTGGGTGGCAGTTGTAGGATCAGCTACTTGCTCAAGTACTGCGTCCTTGTCACACCCCAGCTTAGAGTGGGACCAATTCAGATGCTTAATCAACTTCTCTTTCCCACTTCCCACAGTTCAAATGTCATTTTGCCCCCACCTCCCTCCAAAGTGACAGATATCACAAAGCCATGTGTTTGCACAAGCCAGTCCCTCTAACAGCAGATGTGATCCTCAGGCTGGGCTCCTTAGTTGCTCCCCACTTGGGAGCCCTGTATGGGATGAATTGCATACACTCAAATTTGTGTGTTGATGTCCCAACCCCCAGTACAGTAGTGCCCCCTTATCCAAGATTTCACTTTCCAAGGTTTCCGTTACTCTCAGCCAACTTCAGGCCAAAAATATTACATAGAAAATTCCAGAAATAATTCATAAGTTTACATTGAGCATCCTTCTGAATAGCATGATGAAGTCTCCTGCTGTCCAGCTCCATCCCACCAGGAACATGAATTCTCTAGAGAATCCACGTTGTCTCTACTACCCGCCTGTCCATCACTTAGTAGCTGTCTCATTTATTGGATTCAAAAACCATAGTATATGTAGGGTTCAGAATGATCTATGATTTCAGGTAGCCACTGGGAGTCTTGGAACATATTCTTAGCAGACTGGGGGGATTGCCGTACCTTAGAATGAGACAATATGTGGAAATAGGATCTTTTTTTTTTTTTTTTTGAGACAGAGTTTCGCTCTTGTTACCCAGGCTGGAGTGAAATGGCACGTTCTTGGCTCACTCCGCCTCCCGGGTTCAAGCGGTTCTCCTGCCTCAGCTTCTCACGTTGTTGGGATTATAGGTGTGCGCCAACACATCTGGCTAATTTCGTATTTTTAGTAGAGATGGGGTTTCACCATGCTGGTCAGGCTGATCTCGAACTCCTGACCTCAAGTGATCCACCTGCCTCGGCCTCCCAAAGTGCTGGGATTACAGGTGTGAGCCACTGTGCCCAGTTGGAGATAGGATCTTTAAAGAGCTGATTAAGCTAAACTGAGGCCATGAAGGTAGGCCCTAATCTCATATGACTGTGTCTGTGTAAAAAGAAGAGATGAGGACAGAGATGTGCACAGAGGGAAGACCACGCGAGGAGACATGGAGAAGATGCCACCTAAAGCAAAGGAGAGATGCCTCGGGAGAAACCAGCCCAGCTTCCAGAGCTGTGAGGAAATAAATCTGTGTTATTTAAGTCCCCAGTCTGAGGTACTTTGTTATGGCAGCTCTAGCTGACTTAGACACAGCCTGATTGGTTGGTTCTGGCACTTCTTACCGCAGTTCACTGCATTCTCTTCACTGAATTGCAATTTATCTGTTGGCATTTGGGTTGGTCCGCTGAGGTGACAGGCCTGGCTTACGCACTTTTATTATCTCTAGCATGAAGAAACCCTGGCACCGATAGGTGCGCGTGAAGTGTTTGCTGAATTTATGAGAGCTGCTGCTGTCCCGGCAGCTCTGAGGGTGTCCGGAGAGGGACAGGAATCTTCTCTTTGGGCAGAAGTCACCTTTTCACTCCATTTGCAAAGGACATCACATGGAAAGACAGCCCAGGTACACAGTGTTGGGGAAGGGCCTACAGGAAGCTGCTTTTCCTAATTTTCCACTGGTGAGGTTTGATGATTTGGTAGACTCACTGATCATTTTGTTCTTTTTTGGGTTCTCTGGTGTTAGTAAATTGCTATATTTGGATTCAATTTCTCTTTCTCGTAGTCTTTGTCACTCTGCCATTCTCTCTTCTGCTCCTGGCCCCACCCCTCTTCTCCCAAAGACTCCCAGCGGCCCTCCCAGACCTGCTGCAGGTGGAGAAAATGTTCAGCTGCTCATCCCCTCTCCCCTCACCCACCCCAACCGAGCACTAGCGGCTCACATCTGTGGGCCTTACTTTCCCCACACACACGTGGCTGTACTGCGAGGTCTTACCGCAACTCTGGTAGAGCACTTCCAAGCCGCTGTCACTGCAGGCCGTGTGTGTGGGCCAGGCTCCCCCTCCACCGCCTCCACTGCAGCTGGGAGAAATCAGAGTCCAGAGGAGGAGAGCTGCTGTGAAACCCTTCATGGTGAGGGCTGGTATGAAACACACAGAAAAATAACCGGCCAATAAAAAGGCCGTAAAGGTTCTTCCTTTACCCTCATGAAGGCAGTGGCATGTTCAGTTTCACTTCTCAAATTTTAGGCTCCCCGGGAACCACAATCAGATGTAAAAGGCAGTGAGCAGAGGCATTTGAATACTGTTCTCCCGGGACCTTGAATCTACAGATGAGGCTGTTCTGGTGTGGGGTAGCATGCGTGTTGACTTTCCGCTTTCACAGGGAAAGGGTCAGTAGCGATGCATGAACTTACCTCTTGGGGACCCTCAGAACAGCCTCCACCCCCAGGTGAATATGTAAACTTGGGAAAGACGAAGCACAGGCCACCATCTGTTTCCCATCTCCAGCCTCCGTGTTTCTGTAGGCTCCCCATGCAGGCTGTGTATGGACCAGGGACCCGCCGGGAGCCAGCAGGCAGCGGTTGATAGCATGAGGGCTGCAAAATGACATTTGGAATCTGGAGTGACGCTTTGGCCTTATTCTCACTTTCCTCTCCTCTGGCTTTGGCTCTGCTGTTAGGGTTGGGATTCCAGCAGTGAACTGTCCCCCTGCAGAACAGACCTTGTTTTGGGAGCTGCAGATGTGATCTCTGGAGATGAGGCAGAGGCAATAGCCCTGAAGAGTGAGCCGTGTTTTATTTCTGGTTTGGCTTGGTAGAAAAAGCAGGAAGGTTGGGGAGGTGGAGCCACCCTTAATGAGGTTGGTTTAATGGTTTTGATCGTTAGTGGGGTCATCGCACTTTCTCTTCAAAGCCAAGACTTCTGTTCTCCTTCTTCCCTGTATCTCCAGAGACCACATCTGCAGCTCCCAAAATGAGGTCCTTCTAATACCATCACCTTGAGGCTTAGGATTTCAATATATAAATTTGGGCGGGGACTCAAACATTGGCTTTATTGCAGAAACCATGTCATCTGAAGACAGGGCTACAGATTTTTGAGATTCAAAAGACCTAGAAATGAAAGGAATCGTAATTCAGGGATTTGCACTAGCATTTAGAAATATTCAGTATGGACTGGGCGCAGTGGCTCATGCCTGTAATCCCAGCACTTTAGAGGCCAAGGCGGGTGGATCAAGAGGTCAAGAGATTGAGACCATCCTGACCAACATGGTGAAACATTTCTACTAAAAATACAAAAATTAGCTGGGTGTGGTGGCGTGTGCCTGTAGTCCCAGCTATTCGGGAGGCTGAGGCAGGAGAGTCACTTGAACCTGGGAGGGGGAGGTTGCAGTGAGCAGCGATTGCACCACTGCACTCCAGACTATGTAAAAAAAAAAAAAAGAAAAGAAATATTCAATATGCACCAATCAGGAACCTTGTGGGCATGGTGACCTTAGAACAGTGGTCTTCAGGCTAGAGTGGTCTTCAGGGCATCAGCATCAGCTGACGGGCTTGTTAATACACAGATTGCTGGGCCCCACCCCAGAGTTTCTGCTTCTGTGTATCTGGTGAGGCCTGAGAACCTGTGTTTCTAACATGTTCCCAGGTGATACCAGAGCTGCTGATCTGGGGCTACACTCTGAGGACCTCTGGTTTAGCTTACAGAATTTGGCCTTTTGCAGAATGTACAATTAAAAAAATCTTCTTAATGAAATGTTTTGTTTTTATGACAGATGGCATTTTATATAACACATATATAACACACCCATAGAAGATAAAAGAGTAAGCCACTTTCTCTAAGGAATTCTACTGACTCGTTCTGTCTACTGAAAATGGGATTTGACTGAAATCATTAGTTATGGTCCATCTAGTTCAGAAATCAACCTGTAAAGATGTCTTGAAGAGTTCTTTAATTAGAACCTTTATAAAGATATCAAAGTGTTCTTTGAGAATGTCCTGTTCCCTAACTATAGAATAAAATTAGAATCGGTTTACGATAGTTATTTAAAATATGGTTATATCTATGTAATGGTAACCAAATATACTGCCAGGCTTTGATGCTGACTTCTAATCTCTTAGCAAGCTGCAGCTGAAGAAGCTGTGCTCTGGTCACATTCAGATTTCTACTTTCTGGACAATCCTCCTCTTCTTCCATGTCTCATGCTATTCTCCTGCATATCTATATTTTTATTATTTTATTTTATGAGGTGACATCTTGCTCTGCTGCCCAGGCTACAGTGCAGTGGCTCACTGCAACCTCCGCCTCCCGGGTTCAAGTGATTCTCCTGACTCAGTCTCCCAAGTAGCTGGGATTACAGGCGTGTAACACCATGTCCAGGTAATTTTTGTATTTTTAGTAGAGACAGGGTTTTGTCATGTTGGCCAGGCTAGTCTTGAACTCCTGACCTCAGGTGATCTACCTTCCTTGGCCTCCAAAAGTGCTGGGATTCCAAACGTGAGCCATTGTACTCTGCATTGCTTTCCTTTTATAGAGGTCTTCTTGGGGATGATGCCTTTCTTTTCTTGCAGAGTAAAAATACTTTTGTCAAGATTATCATCTCTAAAGCTGTTCTTAAGGAGAAAACGTATGTTTGAGGAGAGACTTAAAGAATAAAAAATGAGACTCTGGGGGCAGGAGTCCAGCTATGTATGTAAGCAAGTAAGGGTGAGGCTGCACCACAAGAGAAAATACAATACTCCAGGGAGTGAGGGGAGAAAAAAGGAAGGAGTGGAGTGAGGAGAGGAGAGAAGGGGAGGAGAGGAGGGGAGAGGAGAGGTAAGCAGGTCAGTGGCTGGTGCGGAGTGGAGGGAAGCAGCCTGCCAGCAGGTGGGACGAGCAAAAGTCCCTTAGGAACAGATTCTGCATTGCTTACTGTGCAGTGTGCAATGTGACGGCCCTCTCCATTCTGTGACCCACAAAAGTTTAGAGGAGACTTACACGGCCAGTATGTGTGTGTGTACACACACACACAGGAGAAAAGGCCAGAGCTTCATGCTTGGTGTGTAATAGAGGTGAGGGCTGTGGGAATACGCCCCCCTTGGGAAAGTGATTCAGTATCTGGGTGGGCATCCCACTTCCCTTGGACACGGAAGGGGATTAGGACCAATGTAATCTACATTACACATGCCAGTAGATGGCAGATAGTCCTAACTATTCTTTGATGCTACACAATGATGATGTAGCACTCTGTCTCCAGTGGCAAATGTGCCTTCCTCGTCGTTTGTATTCGACTACGGCTGCTCTTTTCTAATTTCCCTCAGATATTTATTATATTTGCCAAAATTTCACTTTGCATAGCATTGTCTCTTTGCTTTTTTCTGTGTCCTGTCTCGCTTTCTGCCACACTGCAGTGGGAAGAGGCAGGCTTGGTCACATCCTGCTTTTGTCTTCTAGATTAGGGGTCCCCAACCCCTGGGCCACAGACCAATACTGGTCCATGGTCTCTTACGAACTGGGTGGCACAGCAGGGCGTGAGAAGCGGGTGAGTGAAGATTCATCTGTATTTATAGCTTCTCCCCATCACTCACATTACCACCTGAGCTCTGCCTCCTGTCACACGTCCTGTCAGATCAGCAGCAGCATTAGATTCTCATAAGAAAGCAAACCCTATTGTCAACTGCACATGCGAGAGATCTAGATTGCACACGCCTTATGAGAATCTAACGCCTGATCATCTGTCACAGTCTCCCATCACCCCCAGATGGGACCGTCTAGTTGCAGGAAAACAAGCTCAGGCTTCCCATTCATTCTGTATTATGGTGAGTTGTATAATTATTTCATTATATATTATAATGTAATTATAATAGAAATAAAGTGTACAATAAATGTAATGCATTTGAATCATCCTGAAACCAGCCCCCATCCACCCTCCTATCCATGGAAAAGTTGTCTTCTACGAAACTAGTCTCTGGTGCCAAAAAGGTCGGGGACTGCTGTTCTAGACTGAGTGCAACCTGAAAACTGCTCCCCTCCTGTGTAGAAGTCAGGAAACCATGCTACTTCCTGTGTAACACTGTTTCACAGACCCCTTGGCTGACTGCTGAGGTTTTACTCTTTAGCGAGTTTCAAACCCTTTATTATACAGGCCACACAAATATTTCGTAGAATTGGTACTAAGCTTTTCAGTAGAGTCTTTCTCATGATCTCTCAGATTTCTGGAAGACCCACCCCACAGAAAGTATGGGCTGGCTTCCAAAGTCCCTTGGGCTCTTGGTGTCATATATTCTGTGTATGTATTTGATAGAAACATATTGAAACCAACTGTATGCTTTCTACACAAGTAGGAAAAATTCATCTGTCTACTTGCTTCAGATTCTCTCACTCATTTATCCAACAAATATTTATTAAGCACCCCCAAAATGACAGCTACGGTTCCCAGCACCAAGAATACGGCAAAACAAAGTTTTTGTTCTCATGGAGATTACCTTCTAGTGGGAAAAGACAGACAATAACATTTTTAGTACAATTGTTTAATAAAAGAGAAGAGACTTTGCTTTTTGAAAAGCTTCTTGGGTTTCACATGGAAAATTGGAGTAAGCTTTCTGAAATATTTTCAGCTGGCTGCTTCTTGTGTATATAACAATAAACTATTTTTCTTTAATTTGCTCCAGACTGGTAACTCATCAGGGTTACCAATAACTGTTTGCTCCAATGGGCAAAGTGTAGCAGGCCAATCTGGGACACTATCCTTTCCTCATTTCCTTGTTGTCCCATTTGTTAATATTATTAATATTTCATTACTCTGAGGACATACTATGTAAAGTAGTTGGTTTTCAAATAAGTCTACATAGACTATGGCAAACTACGAACAGAAATGATTTTTGTTGGTGTGAGGAACACGTGCGCTGGGCCAGGAAAGAGGTGAGCACTTATAGATCAGTTTGATCGATTTTCCAGTGATGAAAAGAGCAATGCATTGCATTGCATCTGATTAAGGTAGAAGAAATTGCTCTGAGCTGCAGAGAGGGGAGCTCTAGCATGAAAGGACTGATGTCCATTGTATAAAAATCCTCTGCAGCATGGGACAAATTAGCAACTTGTAGCTACGACTCTGCTCTTCAAATTGAGAATGCTCTCAAGATCTCGTCTCAATAAGATTGAAGTTATTTCAGTAAGCTGAAGGAAAGACACTGGGGAGGGAACCAAAAATAGGATGAAGAATGCGAAGAGTTCTTTTA